GGAACCCCCAAAGCCTAGAGGACGCCAGGACGCCGCACACTACGCAGGGCTTACCCCGTCAGCCCACAAGAGTTTCAGCGCGCAGCGCCTCGTAAACCAGGGTATGGGGTGTTTTTTTTTTGAAGGGGAACTGGGACACACAAATAAATACACACACAAATAAAAGGATCCACCATATTTTCCCATATTTTCTGGGTTTTTGTCTTCCCCCCCACTTCCCATATTTTCCCATATTTTCTGGGGAATCGAGGATTAATTGTGTCTGTGTGTTTCTTTTCCTCCTGATTCGTGCATCTTCGTTCCTCGATGCCTGTGGGGCCCGGCGATCGGGTCGAAGGACGGCGACTCGAGGACGTCCAGCGACCGGAGGAACTCGGAGCGGAAGCCGGCGGCGTAGACGCGCCCGCGGTGTGGCACCACCCGGGCGCCGGGCCGCAGCAGCCTTCCGCGGGCGGCCGGCGAGCCCCAGACCCCCTCGAGGAATGAAAAAATCAGGGCGGGAGGTTTTTCACCATTTTCGGCCTCTGAGGGCCCGTGCCGGGCCTCGGGACCGCCAAAAAACGACTCGGGACGAAAAACCGGTCCCGGGGAATGGGTCTGGACCTCTGGGGGTCGACGTCATGAAAAGATCGTGACGTCGGGGGTCTGGGTCGTACGTTGCTCCCATCCTACTTAGGGACCGCATCCCAGAAGTAATTTCGAGCACCCAGAGAAGAGTCGAAAGGGTGTCGAAAGAATGTGGAAACAGTGTTTCCCAGGGCCCGGCACGTGAAAACCATCGAGTTTTTGGATTCCTTTCTGGCGCTCGAAATTCTTTTTCTGGTGATCAATGCTAAAATAGGTGGGAACATCATAACCCTAGAAGACAAGCGCGCGTAACCAAATCGTGCGCAAAAAGCAGTGCAATTTTACAATGGTCTGTTGCCCACGCGTCCGCAGCCAGATCGTCGCCCTGTAGAAGCGATTTCGCTGCAGAGGGGTGCCTTGTTTTGAGTTGCAGGCGAATTGTCCCTCGATTTCGGGGCCCCGGGGCCCTCGCGGATCCGGGGCGAGCAAACTTGCCCTGGGGAAGGGGCCGGGAGCTCTCGCGCCGCGGATGGGAAGCAGCACGACAATGCCGTCTGGGCCCATGGATCCGTGCCCTCGCGGCTGGGCCGCCGACGCGCGATCACGATCCTACGGATGCACTCTTGCGTTCTTATTGTTTTTTGTGTTTTTTTTTGTGTTTTTTTTGTTTGTTTTGTGCTTTTTTGTGTTTTTTTGTTTGTTTTGTGTTTTTTGGTGTGTTTTTTGTGTTTTCCCACCACCTCTCCCCGTCGTCGAGAAATCAAGTGACGCAGAAAGGCGTTCGGCCTCTGGGGGCCCTCCCCGCCAAACGTCGACCCCCGGGGTGAGCAGCCGGCCCTCGGGGCAAGGGGCCCCGGGGATCCGAGGCCGTGACCTTTGTTCCACTGCGGGGCCCCCGGAAGTCGCGGCCCGTTCCCCAGGACCGGCTTTTCATCTCGCAGTCCTTTCCCAGATGGTCTGGTACCGGAAATTTTCGGTAGCGATTTCGACGCACCCCGAATTTCGGTAGCGACCGGATCTTCGTTTGAGGGCGTTGAAATAGCGGATTTCAGGACGCTCTGATACCGGTACAGAACGCTCTGATACCGTTATTGGGCGCTACATTTCGTATTTCGGTAGCGAACCGAGCTCTGTGGAAAGATATAAAAAAAAAACAAATGGAAGCAAAAGAAGAACAATCAGCATAATGTACGAAGACGCGTTTGTAAAAAGTAAAAGAGAAAAAGACAAAAAATAAAAGAAAAACGAAGGAAAAAAAAAACAGCCAAATGAGAGAGAACCAGGGGGAAGAGAAAGAAAGAGAAAAAATAAAGATATAAAAAAAAAATATACCAGATTAAAAAAAAAAAAAGATAGGAATGGAAAGAACGCTACCGGAAATTTCGGTAGCGGACCACCACAGGTTTTCGCGGCTCCCTGGCCGGCGAGGGCCGCTAGAGAGGCCGAAAGTCTAGGAACACCTCCGTCCTGATTTTTGTTCCATACGTGGCCGAAAATTTCGAAACACCTCCGTCTTGACTTGTGCAATGCGTCGGATCTCTGGGGGAGACGTCGGCATCTCTGAGCACCCGCGCGGCGCCCGCGCGGCGCGGGGCCGCCCTCGCGCGGCGAGGCCTCCCCGACGCGGCCCCCCCCCCCCCTGCGCAGCCACCGGTGGGCGTCGACGAAGCTGGCCGGGGTGGACGACGGGGGCGGTCCCGAGACCTCTGACCCTCGAGGCCCAGCCATGGTCGCGTCGTAAAAAAAAAAAGACGGGAAGGTTTTGGCTATTTTCGGCCTCCTCGGGCCCCTCGTCCCTCCTCCTCCCTCCTCCCCACCTCTGTTCCCAGACATGATCGCGTCGTAAAAGAAAACAGGACGGGAGGTTTTTGGCTATTTTCGGCCCCGGGGGGCCCTCGCCGGGCCTCGGGACCGTCCAAAAACGGCGCAGGAGGAAAAGCCGGCCCCGGGGAAGGAAGGGCCGGGACTTGCGGGGAGGCCGTCCTGAAAAAAGCAGGGCGTCGCACGTCTGGGGACTTGGTCGCAGCGTGGACCAGCCGGAGGTCTAGACCACTTCCCCATGGGACCGGCTTTGAATCCTGGGTCGTTTTCAATCGACAAACGTGGACCCCTGGAGGTCTCATTGGACCACTGCGCTCGGGACCGGCTTTTCATCCCGAGTCGTTCTGGGACTGTCCTGGGGGCAGGGGCCGAAAACGGCCGCAAAAACCTCCCGTCGCGACCCCTTCGCGGCACGAGGGGTTGCGGCGCCAGCGGGGGCGGAGGTTCGCAAACTCACCGCCGCACCCCGCTGGTGGTTCGGGGCGACCTCCAGAGCCGGGAGCGGCCCCGTGCACCGAGAAGCGTGGCCCGGGCGGCGGGGCCGACGCCAGCCGCATCCAGCATGGTTCGCGCCCCCCCCCAGTCTCCCGCCTATTGTTAAGTCGGGCCTGTTCCCCCTACAGTGGGATTTTCGAAGAAACAATCAAGAATAGTCAACAAATATGCAAAAATGACAAAAAAATCGCCGGCCCAACGGGCCAGAGGCGTGCTAAGATCTCCGGTAACTGGTTAACAATTCTCTAGTTCGCGCGCGCGGGGCGGCCCCTGGGGGTCCCCGGACGAAAAGTACCCCGGGCGACTCGGCTGATCCCCGGGCGACTCCACCAGAGCGCCCCATGAGCGCACCAACAGGGCTCCGAGACGTCCCCGAGAGCCCCAAGAAAGGCCAAGAGGCCCCCAAGAGGCCCCCAAGATGGTACACGAGGGGTCCGACATGCCACAAGATCGCTCCAAGACGCCCAAGATAGCCCCCAGACGCCCCAAGAGGCCTCCCAGAGCACTCCCAAGAGGGCCCCCGGAGGCAAAATTCATTGTTTTTCCTTGGGTTTTGAGAGATTTTGGAGCTTCCACCTTTTCGGTTCCCGACGCCCCAAGACGGCCCCAGAGGCCCCCAAGATCGCCCCAAGAGGGCCCAAGAGGGCCCCAAGATGGCCCAAGAGGGCTCGAAGACGGCCCAAGAAGCCTCCAAGACGGTCCAAGAGGGCCCCAAGAACACCCTCAAAGGGGCCCCAGGGAGGGAACACGACACAAAATCTCGCGCCCTCGGCCCTAAGAAGCCCCTACGAGGCCCCAAGAGGCCCCTAAGAGGCCCCAAGAGGCCCCCACGAGGCCCTCAGGAGGCCCCCAAGAGTCCCCCAAGCGGCCCCAGGAGGCCCCCCAAATGCCCCCCCGAGCGCCCCAGGAGTCCCCCAAGCGGCCCCAGGAACCCCCAAAGCGCCGCATTGACACCAGGCCCTCGGGCAAACGGCAGACATGAGACTGTATGGGCCGGCGGAATGAGCGAAGCGATTAAATACTCAAACAATCGTCCCCATTTGACTATTTTTGAACACTCCTCCTGTAGAGGGACAGGCCCGACTTAAACCTACTGGCTACGGCGAGGGCATGGAGTAAGGAACCATTGGACAAGGAATCCAGGGTCTGGAAGACGGTAAAACTCCAGTCGTGGATTGGTCATGGATCTTTTACCGCCGCCCTCGTCAGACAGGGAATCCCCCAGGGGCTGAAGCCTCCTGGGCACGTTCCTTACCCAAGGCCCCCACCGTATCGGGGGGACAGAAAACGATGACCCATGGCCAAGACTGAACGCGGAAACTGATCCACTACAAAACCACCCCAACGCTACGTACATACACGAAGGCCGGAAGGAAGGTCGGATTCAGGGGGGGTGCACGGGCCATCTCGGAATGAGATTGTCAATGGGGGTGCTCTCCGGAACGTTGTAACATTGCACCAGTTCCGCGTACCCCGCCATCTGAAATTATGTTTTTTTAGGGTGGTCTTCGAGTCGGGTTGGGGTGGTTCGATCACGAGTAAATCACATGGATGTTGACATGAATCATCGTCGACTTTGGTCATCGTCAATTCGTGGGTCGTCCTCGCACATCGGCGACGGCCGGCGTGGACCATGACTACAGGATCGGCGTCGACAAGACCACGCGACACCTCTTGGTCATGGTCGTCGCTTCTTTCCTCAACTCCAGGACCCCGACGTCGTGGTCACTCTTCCCAGCGTGGGACCCCAGGAGCCCCGACCCCCTCCCCAGGGCCAATTTCACATCCCAGACCATTCCCCCTCCTCCTCCTCCTCCTCCTCCTTCTCCTCCACCACCTCCTCCTCCTCCTCCTCCTCCTCCTCCTCCTCCTCCTCCTCCTCCTCCTCCTTCCTTCCTCCTCCCCCTCCTTCCCCTCCTCCTCCTCCTCCCATTCCTCCTCCTCCTCCTCCTCCCCCTCCTGTCCTCCCCCCTCCTCCTCCTTCCTCCTCCCCCTCCTCCTCCCCCATCTCCCTCCTCCTCCTCTTCCTTCTCCTCCTCTTCCTTCTCCTCCTCCGCCCTGACACCCTTCAGGACGCTGTCAGTCTGGGATACTCCCCTTTCGCCCACCCCCCGAGCTGGGAAGGACGCCCTCCCCGACCAGGCCGGTGTCAAAGATCTCTGCGACCAGGACGTCTGCCCGGCAGGGGATCGAGCGCCTCTGGTCCTCCGCGCGGCAGGCGTAGCCCACCTGCAGCTCGGTGGACAGGGCGGGCAGGACGGTGATCTTGTCAGAGTACCCGTTGTCCTCGACGACGACGACGACGACGACGACGACGACGACGACGACGACGACGACGGCAACGACGACGGCGTCGGCGGCGGCGGCGACGGCGACTGCGACTGCGTCGGCGAGGGCGGCGACTGCCGAGCGGCGAGCCCCGGCGACTGCCCCCCCCGCGAGGCCCCCGGGGGGCCCAAGCAGGGCCCGCTGGGCGGCCCGAGCAGCGTGGATCCGCGGCCCTCGGCCCTGCGAGGGCGCCTCGGGGGCACCCCCTGGCCTGCGGAGGGCGGCGGGAGGCCCCCCCCCACGGACACTCCTCCGCGGGAGCAATTGACGCCACTGCCGCCACTGTGACCGCCTCCTCCTCCTCCTCCTCCTCCTCCTCCTCCTCCTCCTCCTCCCCTCCTCGCTCCTCCTCATCCCTCCTCCTCCTCCCTCCCCCTCCCCCTCCTCCTCCTCCTCCCCCTCCTCCCACTCCTCCTCCTCCTCCTCCCCTCCTCCACCTCCCTCCTCACTCCCTTCCCCCCTCATCCTCCTCCTCCTCCCTCCTCCTCCTCCTCCTCCTCCTCCTCCTCCTCCTCCACTTGGTTGGATGCCCGCCGTCGTGCCCAAGGGTGACTGCTCGGAGCCCCCGGGCGTGGAAGCGACGCACGGCACGGCCCCCGATCCGGCACGAGCTTCGGACCCCGTCGAATTACTCGAACCTCACTCGGGCGACGATCAAAACAACGGGTCTTTACGCGAGATGGCACAGCGACTCTGCGGCGGCGGCTCCCGCGGGCCGCCAGCGCGGCACGCCACGCTGGAAGCGAGGGCGCTCGCGCGCGACCTCCCGCGGGCAGCTTGCGCGCCAACGTCGGCGCAGTCGAACCCTCCTTTCTCGCGTCGCTCATTGTTGGAATCATAGAGTTCGGTCGAGCATGTCCCCCTACAGGCGGATTTTGGGCGAAAATAAAAACAATAAAAAACGAAAATACTTAAGAATATCCAGAACTTGTCAAAAAGTCGTCCTCAGACTGTTGTTTGTCTATGTTTGAACATTCCTCCAGTAGAGGTCGGTGACGCCCAAATGCGGCTGGTGACGCCTCGTTCGGCGGCGGAAATCCGCGATGTCCCATGGAAACGGGACCCGTCGCTAACTTTAGGTCGGGCCTGTCCCCCCTACAGGCGGATTTGGGACGAGAAATAGAACATACTCGAAACACACTCAAGACATGTGCGAAAACGACAAAAGTCGTCCCCTGACTATTTTTACCTAACAGCTTTTGCTGATAGGTTTCTAGTGGGGTCAAAAGAGAGCAGCAGATGACTCCACAGGGGGGTCGGGGCGGCATCCGGGGAAAAAAGAAAAAAAATACAAAAAAAAATGAAAAGAAGACTGTGTCCGAACTCGTGATCCGAATGGCGGCTTTTCGCAACAGTCAAACACTTAAAACAATTCGTCTCTTCGACCTCCAGAACTCCATTCCCTCCATTCCCCCCGGGCCACATTTTGAATGCCCGGAGCCAACTGTAGGCCACTTCGTGCTCTTCGACTTCCCAGAACTCCATTCCCGGGCCACATTTTGGATGCCCGGAGCCAACAGTAGGCCACTTCGTGCTCTTCTATTTCCCAGAACTCCATTCCCGGGCCACATTTTGAATGCCCGGAGCCAACTGTAGGCCACTTCGTGCTCTTCGAGTTCCCAGAACTCCATTCCCGGGCCACATTTTGAATGCCCGGAGCCAACTGTAGGCCACTTCGTGCTCTTCCACTTCCCAGAACTCCATTCCTGGGCATGATTTTGAATGCCAGGAGCCAACTGTAGGCCACTTCGTGTTCTTTTAGTTCCCAGAGCTCCATTCCTGGGCCACATTTTGAATGCTGAGGCAGGCTGATGCTGCGGCCGAGGCAGGCTGAGGCTGAGGCAGGCTGAGGCTGAGGCCGAGGCTGAAGGCAGACTGAGGCTGAGGCTGAAGCAGACTGAGGCTGAGGCTGAGGCAGGCTGAGTCTGAGGCTGAAGCAGGCTGATGCTGAGGCAGGCTGAGGCTGAGGCTGAGGCTGATGCAGGCTGAGGCTGAGGCAGGCTGAGGCTGAGGCCGAGGCTGAAGGCAGACTGAGGCTGAGGCTGAAGCAGCTGAGGCTGAGCTTAAGCAGGCTGAGCTGAAGGCTGAGGCAGGCTGAGGCTGATGCTGAGGCAGGCTGAGGCTGAGGCTGAGGCTGATGCAGGCTGAGGCTGAGGCAGGCTGAGGCTGAGGCCGAGGCTGAAGGCAGGCTGAGGCTGAAGCTGAAGCAGGCTGAGGCTGAGGCAGAGGCAGGCTGAGGCTGAGGCTGAGGCAGGCTGATGCTGAGGCAGGCTGAGGCTGAGGCTGAGGCTGATGCAAACTGAGGCTGAGGCAGGCTGAGGTTGAGGCCGAAGCTGAAGGCAGACTGAGGCTGAGGCTGAAGCAGGCTGAGGCAGAGGCAGAGGCAGGCTAGGGCTGAGGCTGAGGCGGAGGCTGAGGCAGGCTGAGGCTGAGGCAGGCTGAGGCTGAGGCTGATGCTGAGGCTGAGGCTGAGGCAGCCTGAGGCTGAGGCCGAGGCTGAAGGCAGACTGGGGCTGAGGCTGAAGCAGGCTGAGGCTGAGGCTGAGGCAGGCTGAGGCTGAGGCTGAGGCAGGCTGAGGCTGAGGCTGAAGCAGGCTGAGGCTGCGGAGGCTGAGGCCGAGGCTGAAGGCAGACTGATGCTGAGGCTGAAGCAGGCTGAGGCTGAGGCTGAGGCAGGCTGAGGCCGAGGCTGAGGAAGACTGATGATGAGGCAGGCTGAGGCTGAGGCTGAGGCTGATGCAGGCTGGAGCTGAGGCAGACTGAGGCTGAGGCCGAGGCTGAAGGCAAACTGAGGCTGAGGCTCAAGCAGGCTGAGGCTGAGGCTGAGGCAGGCTGAGGCTGAGGGTGAGGCAGGCTGAGGCTGAGGCAGGCTGAAGCTGAGGCTGAGGCTGAGGCAGGCTCAGGCTGAGGCAGGCTCAGGCTGAGGCAGGCTGAGGCTGAGGCCGAGGCTGCAGGCAGACTGAGGCTGAGGCTGACGCAGGCTGAGGCTGAGGCTGAGGCAGGCTCAGGCTGAGGCTGAGGCTGAGGCAGGCTGATGCTGAGGCAGGCTGAGGCTGAGGCTGAGGCTGAGGCAGGCTGAGGCTGAGGCAGGCTGAGGCTGAGGCATAGGCCGATGGCAGACTGAGGCTGAGGCTGAAGCAGGCTGAGGCTGAGGCAGAGGCAGGCTGAGGCTGAGGCTGAGGCAGGCTGAGGCTGAGGCAGGCTGAGGCTGAGGCTGAGGCTGATGCAGGGTGAGGCTGAGGCAGCCTGAGGCTGAGGCCGAGGCTGAAGGCAGACTGGGGCTGAGGCTGAAGCAGGCTGAGGCTGAGGCTGGGGCAGGCTGAGGCTGAAGCAGGCTGAGGCTGAGGCTGAGGCCGGCTGAGGCTGAGGCTGTGACTGCGACTGCCGTTGCCACTGCGACTGTTATCGCGAATGCGACTACGACTGCGAGAACAGCAGAATTCTACAACTGGATTCGCATCTTAATATTAAGGGGAATGCTTCCAGATATGCTCCTACATATCGCTGTTAGGTTGCTTTGCCGGGATAATTTGACTATTCTTGAACATTCCTCCCGAAGAGGGACGTGCCCGACGTGATCCCAGAGGGGGGCCTCCACCACGTGCCTCGCGGCCTCGGCGAGCCCGGGCTCGCCCTCCGCGGTGAAGACGTGCTGGCAGCCCTCGCACCTCTCGGGTGCGCCGAGGGGGTGCGCCTGGAGCGCGCTTCTCTACTTTCGGCGATACTTGAAGGGGCCCTGGGACACGCAAATAAATACACACAACTCAAAGGATCCCCCATAGGTTCCCATCTGTTCGGGGTTTCTGTCTTCCCCCCCCCCCCCCCACTTCCCATAGTTTCGCATATGTTCTGGGGAATCGACGATTCATTGTGTCTGTGTGTTTCTCCCCTCCTGAATCATGGGCATGACAAGGGGGGGGGGAGGGGCCAGGGAGGGGTATAATGCAACGCCTCCCCCCGCCGTGCGCACGGCGGCAGTGCCAGGAGCGGACCGGGGGTGGGTGGGAGGGGGGCGTTGCGTGAAAGGCGGGGCGAGGGAGGCTCCGCGCTCTATTTAAGGGTGGGGCGTTACGTTAAAGGGTGGGGCGAGGGGGGGCGTTACGTTAAAGGTGGAGGCGTTTAAGGTGGGTTAAGGGGGCCGGGGGCTACGCTGCCCGTTATGCCCCCAGCAACGAAGAGACATGCTCCTGTGGGACGAGGGGGGCTCCGCGCGTCGGAAGCGGAGGCAAAGATCGGGGCAAAGTCGGATCGGGGTGAGCCGGGAATCCCTGGCACCCCATGGGGGCTCTGAACCCAGACCCCCGACGTCATGGTTTTTTCATGACGCGACCCCCAGAGGCCCAGACCCATTCCCCGGGACCTGTTTTTCGTCCCGAGTCGTTATCTGACGGTCCCGAGGCCCGGTTAGGGCCTTCAGAGGCCGAAAATCGCGAAAAACCTCCCGTCGTGATTTTTTCATGACTCGAGGAGGTCTGGGAAGGGCGCACCAGGCGCCGAGGCGGGGGGGGGGGCCTCGCATCTCTCGGGGGCCCAGGGGGCTCGGCGCAGCACCCGTCGGAGCGCCCAGGCGGGCAAGCACGCGCCGCGGAGAGAGCACGCCGGACGGCTGCTTGCTGTGCTTTTCCGCTGCGGCCCCTCGCCGGGCCCCGGGGCCGTCCGGCAACGACTCTCGGGACAAAAAGCGGGTCCTGGGGACGGGGTCGAGACCTCTGAGGGTCCGCGTCGTGAGAAAAAGGCTCGACGTCGGGGGTCTGGGAGTGTTGAGGGGGAACGGTCGTCGGAGGCGGGTGAGGAGGAGGAGGAGGAGGAGGAGGAGGAGGAGGAGGAGGAGGAGGAGGAGGAAGAGGAGCAGGAGGAGGAGGAGGAGGAGGGGAAGGGGGAAGGCAGAAGAGCGGGGCCTTCTCCGGAGGCTCAGGAGGCCCCCCCCTGGCCTTCCGGGAGAAATCCGAGCCTTCTCG